TGGTATCAAGGTATTGCTGGGTTCTTAGAATTTCCGAGTTCAGAAGTGTTCTGTTCTCCTCGATATTTTGGAACAGTTTGAGGAGGATTGGTGTTAATTCTTTAAATGTTTGGTAGAATTCTCCAGTGAAACCGTGTGGTCATGGAGTTTTCCGTGTTGGGAAGTTTTTTGGGTTTTTTTGTTTTTTGTTTTTTGCGGTACATGGGCCTCTCACTGCCGTGGCCTCCCCCGCTGTGGAGCACAGGCTCCGGATGCGCAGGCCCAGCGGCCATGGCCCACAGGCCCAGCCGCTCCGCGGCATGTGGGATCCTCCCGGACCGGGTCACGAACCTGCGTCCCCTGCATCGGCAGGCGGACTCTCAACCACTGCACCACCAGGGAAGCCCTGGTTTGTTTTTTTAAATTAAAAATTTTAAAACTAAAGTATGGTTGAGTTACAATATTATATTAGTTTCAGCTGTACAGCATAGTAATTCAGTACTTCTACAGTTTACATTCCATTAAAAGTTGTTATAAGATAATGGCTATAATTCTCTATGCTATATAATATGTCCTTGTTGGTTGTCTATTTTACCCATGGTAGATTATATCTCTTAATCCTGTACCCCTAATTTGCCCCCTTCCCTTCCATTTCCCCTTTGGGAGATGAGGGCTGGGGGGATAACTGATGGTGTTTAAGGGTACAAACTCGTAACGAGGAGTAATAGGTACATACTTATTGCCACTTTATTACTTGTTTTCCAGTTGTGGTTACCATGTGGTTCATATATGTTGACTCATAATTATATCTACTTGTTTTAAACTAGTAATCATTTAAATTCAAACACATTCTAAAAGATATACATTTTTTACCTTCGTAACCCACATTTTGTGTATTTGATATCATATTCTACATCATCTTGATTATCCCTTAAGTATTTATTTTAGTTATAGTTGCTTTTATAGTTTTTTTTGTCTTTTAATCTACATACTGGCTTATTTAAGTGATCTTCAGTCCTTACTGTGTATTTGACTTTACTACTGGGATTTTCCCTTTCCTACAGATTCTTACCTCTTTTCCATTTAGAGAAGACCCTTCAACATTTCTTTTAGGGTAGGTTTAGTATGCTGAATTCTTTTAGTTTTTGCTTGTCTCAGAAGTTCTTTATCTCTCCTATTCTAAATGATAATCTTGCTGGGCAGAGTATCATAGGTTGCAGGTTTTTCCCTTTCAGGATTTTGAATATATCATGCCTATCCCTTTTGGCCTGCAAAGTTTCTGCAGAGAAATCAGCTGATAGCCTTATGGGGATTCCTTTATATATGACACTTTGTTTTTCTCTTGCTGCCTTTAGAATTCTCTTTAACTTTTGCCATTTTAATTGTATGTCTTGGTTTGGGTCTGTTTGGGTTCATCTTGTTTGGAACGCTCTCTGCTTCCTGTATCTGGATATCTTTCTTCCTTCAGGTTTGGGAAGTTTTCAGCCATAATTTCTTCAAATCCATTTTTGATCCCCTTCTCTCTCTCTCTTTCTGGAACCCCTATAATGCAAATGTTGGAACACTTAATGTTATTGGAGAGATCTCTTAGATTGCTTTCACTTTATAAAATGTGTTTTTCTCTCTGCTGTTCTGATTTGGTGATTTCCATGATTATATCTTCCAGGTCAATTATGCAATTATCCGTATTACTTAACCTGCTATTCATTCCTTTCAGTGTGTTTTTTTTCAGCTGTTGAGTTCTTCATTTCTGATTGGGTGGGGTTTTTTTATGTTTCTAATTCCTTGTTAAAATGTTCAGTGTTTAGATCAATTCTTTTACCTAATTCAGTTAAGCTTTTTATTACCAATTGTTTTGAATTACTTATCTGTTGTTTATTTCCATTTCATTATTTTTTCAGGGTTTTTTTCTTGCTCTTTGAATTGAGAATAGTTCCTCTGCCTTTTAATTTTACTTTTCTCTACTTCTATGAACTAAGGTGAAGCAGTGACCTTTTGTGGACTTGAAGGGGTGTTCTTATTTGGGAGTGTCCCTATACAGACTGCACATGCCCAGTGCCTTTGGTGGGAGGGCTGGATTTGATGTGGATGCCAGTCACATCTTTCCTGATATTGTGCTGGCAGCTTTTACCTTGGTAGTGGGGTGTGACTGGGGATAGAGGGGCTAGAGCTGGCTCCTGGTGTGAGACGGGACTTTCTCTCTGTTCAGTGGCTATCACCTCTCTGTCAGGGGCGGGGTCTGATCCCAAGTTGCTGAAGCAGAAGCCCTTTGTGTCAGGCTCAAGCTGCCTCTGTTCCCTTTACGTGTGTGTTTTTCTCTCTCCTAGCACCAAGACCTTTGCCCCAGAGTAGGGAGTGCTGAAGCAAGTGGGGCCTTTCACATACGGAGGTTCAACACACTGCTTGTGTAGGTGTCTGTGACTCCTTCAGATGCAACCCATGGTAGAGTCTTTTCCCTGGTCGTGGCTGTCCCACATCCAGTGCCGCAGTGTGGCACAGACTGAGTAGAGCCAAAGCATTCACTGGTGCACGGTGAGGTGGCTGTGGGAAAGCCAGCAACCACCCAGACCTCTCCTCAGAGGCAAGACCCCTTTTCCCCTCACAGCTGGTTGCTGTTCCCAGCCTCCACTGTGCTCCACAGGGGAGGGGAGCCTGAATGGTTTCTCTGCGTTTATGGGGTAGGGAGGTGTTGAGGTGTGGTACAGTGGGGCCCAGAGTGGCACGGTTGTTGGAAATCCAGCAGCTGCTAGAGCAGACCTCTCTTCACCCTGCTTCAGAGGCAGGCCAGTGCTCACACCTCATGAATAGAGTCCAGGCTTCTCCAGCCTTTCTGTCTGTCCAAGCAGTCCAGGAGGCTTGTCTCCTCCACATAGGACCCCAGGACCGGGACACCCAGTCTGTGGCTTGACCCACTCACTCCCCAGGGTGGGTATCCACCTTTGCAATTTCTTATTTCCTCTGAGTTCCGTCCCAGGAGCACAGGTCCCTACCTGATCACTTTTCTTCCATTCCTGTGTGATTACCTCTTCCTTGGTTGTTCAGTCCTTTTTCCAGTTTCCAGTTTTCAGTGAGAATTGTTCCACCTGTAGGTGTATTTTTGATGTGTTCATGGGGGGAGGTGAGCACCACATCCCCTTCCCTCCACCATCTTGATCTTTTCTCTTCCGTGTTGGGAGTTTTTTGATTACTGATTCAATCTCATTACTAATTAGTCTGTTCAGATTTTCTGTTTCTTTCTGATTCAGTCTTGGTAGGTTGTGTGTTTCTAAAAATGTATCCATTTCTTCTAGGTTACGTAGCTTTTTGGCATATAATCTTTCATACTAGTTGCTTATGATTCAGTGCATTTCTGTGGTTCAGCTGTAACGTTTCCTCTTTTACTTCTAATTCTTTTTTCCTCAGTCCAAGTAAAGGTTTGTCAATTTTGTTTATCTTTTCAAAGAACCAGCTCTTAGTTTTGTTGATCCTTTCTATTGTTTTTCTGGTCTCTATTTCATTTATTTCCACTCTGATCTTTATTATTTCCTTCCTTCTGCTAACTTTGGGCTTAACTTGTTCGAATTCTTGAAGTGTAAAGTTAGGTTGTTTATTTGAGATCTTTCTAATTTCTTAATATATGCATTAATGCTCTAAACTTCCAGCTTTTACTGCATCCCACAAGATTTGGTATGTTGTATTTCCATTTTCATTTGTTTTGAGATAATTTTTAAATTTCCCTTTTGATTTCTGTTTTGACCTAATGGTTGTTTAGAAGTGTGTTGTTTAATTTCCACATATTTATAAATCTTTTCGCTTTCTTCTTGTTGATTTCTATTTTCATACCATTGTGGTCAGAAAAGATAGTTGGTATGATTTTATTCTTCTTAAATTTGCTGAGATTTGTTTTGTGGTCAGTATGATCAATCTTGGAGACTGTTCCATGTGTACTTGCGAAGAATGTGTATTCTGCTGCTGTTGGATGTAGTGTTCTGTATATGTCTGTTAGTCCATTTGTTTTAAAGTGTGGTTCCAACATTTCCTTGCTGATTTTCTATCTGGACAGTCTTTCCATTGCTAATAGTGTGGTATTGAAGTCCCCTACTATTTTTGTATTATTGTCGATTTCTCCCTTAAGATCTATCAGTATTTGCTTAATATGTTTTGGTGCTTGGGTGTTGGGAGTGTATGTGTTTTTAAAAAAATATTTATTTATTTATAATTTTTGCTGTGCTGGGTCTTAGTTGCAGCATGTGCAATCTTTTACTTGTGGCATAAGGACTTCTTGGTTGTGACATGTGGACTTCTTAGTTGCGACATGCAGACTCTTAGTTGTGGCATGCATGCGGGGATCAAACCAGGGCCCCCTGCATTGGGAGCGCAGAGTCTTACCCACTGGACCACCAGGGAAGTCCCAGGAGGGTATGTGTTATGATTGTTGTCTTCTTTACGTTTTGACCACTTTATCATTAGATAATGACCTTCTTTGTCTTCTGTTACCCTTTTTACCTTGAAGTCTATTTTATCTAAGTGTGACTATGCCCACCTTCTTCTGGTTTCTGTTTGCTTAAAATATCATCTTCCGTCCTTTCACTTTGATCCTGTGTGTCTTTAGAGCTGAAATAAGTAAAAACTGGGATGATGGTCACTGCACCTTGAATAGTGCTGTGTAATTTTACACGGCTGCCTCAGGTTCTGTTTGCCCAAACAATGATTCCCAAAAGCCAGTGCTTCTCGTCACATCCTTTGGCTGTCTCTTGCTCCCAACTTAAATGACTATCCATGTGCTCTTGATGCAACTGCTTAAGAATTTATCTACAAATCATTGTGGAAAACAAAGAGAGGAATAATAGGCCAAGTATCTTACTAAATTGTTGGTAAAGCTATGTTCCGTTTTATTGTATGTTTATGAACACTGAGCCCAACCTGATTTGTATGTCTTGTTTAGTACCCCTAAAAATGTCATTTCGACACTAAGTGCAGTATTTTACTGTTGAATTATTTTTTAAGTGCTATTTTTTAATGTATTTATACACATATCATAGGAACTATCAAGAAACCTTGAGCTAAGTACTAACAGTTTCCAGCGACAGTTGCTTGCTGAAAGGAAAAGGGCATATGAGGCTCATGATGAAAATAAAATTCTTCAAAATGAGCTACAACAACTATATCACAAATTAAAGGTAAGCATTTTATTTTAAATGGCATCATTTCTCCCTATGTTATATATTAGACGAAGACTCTATTTTAAAACATTGTGATCATTTATATTTGGAACTTTGGTACAATATCATTTACAAAATTCTAATATTTTCTTTGGCACTTATAAAGAAAATATTTGTTAATATAATCACTATAACCAAAAATGAGACATTAGATACACTAATAGGAATGATATAACTGAAAAAAGTTATAAAATCCTGCAAGAAAGTTATGGGAACTAGAGTTTTTCTGTGTTGCGTGGTTGAATAGTTCAGTGTTCTTCCTCGGATAACCCCATGATTGATTATTTTTAAAGTTGTTCCAAATAATGCCCTTCCTTTTCACAGTGTTTAGAAGAAGCATTAGAATTAATTAATTCTGTTAAAGTAGGTGTTCTTAATTCTATCCAGAGGTCATTGATGGGTTGAAATTTTGTGCAACATTAAGTGTTTATGTGTTATCTTGCATAGAATTTTCATTTTGTTAATCAAATTCTCAGAGAAAGCCATAGCCACAAAATGGTGAAGAACACTTGTGTTTTAAAAAATGGTCTAATTTTTAACTCACCATTAATTTGGAACCCACATTTGAGAGATGCTAATTAAATTCTTTGTGGCTAAGCCTGGAAGTCAGTTGAAGACATTACTATATCATGTAGGAGTGGGTAGAAAATGAATTTTGCCTTATTCTGATTTTCATGACTGCTAGTGCATATTGGACTTTCAATGGAGAATCATTGCTTTACCGTAACCTAAATGTCCTAAAGACATTCCTTTCTATAATTGGTAGTTACAAAGGGAAGCTGAACTTAGGTATATTCCAATTTGGTGAGGAAAATACCAGTTGAAAAGATGAGGATTTTTGTTTTATTTTAAACTGAGACTCCACATTCTTAATTGTGTTTGGTTTGTTTTCAGGAAAAGGAGAGAGAACTGGACTTAAAAAACATATATTCTAATCGTCTGCCAAAGTCTTCTCCAAAGAAAGAAAAAGAAATTACATCAAAAAAAAATGGTATAGTAAGTTATTATTGTTGAAAAACATTGTAGTTATTAATAATAAAATAAATTAATTTTGAAGTAGAAGGAAGATGAAGGGAAAGAACTTTATTGAAATAGATTTCCTTATAGGTACTTTTCAGAAATCCTTTCACTTTTCAGTTTTTTCCCTTGAGGTCATTACAGTTATGTTTTACATAATTAAAATGTTTTTTCTAATTATAACTTACTTTTCTAAACTTTTATGAAAAACTATAAGCATACCCTAAACAGGAGATTATAGTATGATAAACCTTTATTTATGTATCACCACCTTTAACAGTTATACATTTTACTAATTTTATTTCACCTATTTTTTTCTACTCTTTTTTCTAGAGTATTTTAAAGCAAATCCCAGCTGTCATTTCATTTCACTCATAAATACTTTGCTCGTTTTATGCATATTCTTACTTTTTTAAAAAACAGAAGTATAATTTCCTTCTTCCTGGTTTGCAAAAAGTTAAAAACATAAACTTTGTAAAAGTTTAATAGATTTAGCCCTCAGAGTTGTCCTCAAATGACAAAATTGCCAGTAAATCCTAGAAATAAAAACAGTAATAGTGAGTAGTCATGGAGCTGAGAAACGTGCATTTTCTCATTTAGAGGGTGAACATATACCAATTGAATTCCATATATCTTAGCACTGTTCAATACGATTAGAAAAATTCTTTTATAATTTTCACGGTAGCTGCATGCCAGAGTGATTTTACAAACCAGTGTACAAAAGAAGTACAAACCAGCGAAGACTTCGAGCTGGAGGAATATCCTATAACACCACAAACACTTATGTGTTACGAAAACAAATGGAAAGAACCTGAACGTCTTTCTTTGGTGAGTTTAGCAATATGATTAGGTACTAAACTCTAGGTTTGAAGTTATTCCTAAATGCACAATATCAAACATTTAAAAATTTCAGCAATGAAGCTAGTGCCACAGCTGTA